AAAAGTTGGAACAAAATGCGTGCGTGGCTTTTTCCGAGCGCCCAAACCAACACGAAAACTCACCAAGAAACGCCCCAACCCTCTCCTCCTCCGAGGACCCCCCCCTCCTTGCAAAATACAAAATAACGAGCAGAGGGAAGCTCTCCAATTTGAGACGTTTCCTGTCCAAATTCGCTGCATCCCCAGGGCCGGGCCGGACTCTCCCTCCACCCGCTGCCAAGAGTTGTTGTCAGGAAGCGGCCGCAAGGCTGAGCCCGCGGCACCCGGATGCACTGCGGGGGCCGGGCAGCTCCTCATCCCCAGATGTGCAGGGGAGAGCTTTTGGCCAGCAAGAAAAAGATGAAATAATAGAAAGAATAACAGAAAGAAAAAGCAAAACCCCACCCCCGTGCTCTTCCCTCATTATTCTCGCCTGATTCCCCATTGATTCTGTTCAGTTCCCCACTGCTCCCCTCCAGTTCCCCAAAGATTCCATCTGATTTCCCATAGCTCCTCTCCACTTCCCCATTGGCCCCGTCACATTCCCCACTGCTCCCATCCAGTTCCCTGCTGATTCTGTCCAGTTTCCCACTGCTCCCATCCAATTCCCCATTGCTCCCATCAGATTCCTCCTTGCTTCTCTTCAATTCCCCATTATTCCCATCTGATTCCCCGCTGATTCCATTCGATTCCCCATTGCTCCTGTCCCATTTCTCCCATCAGATTTCCCATTTCTCCCATCTGAATCCCCATTGCTCCCATACAATTCCCCATTTCTTCCATCTGATTCTCCAGTGCTCCCATCTGAACCCCCATTGCTCCCATACAACTCCCCATTGCTCCCATCTGAATCCCCATTTCTCCCATCCCATTTCTCCCATCAGATTCTGCATTTCTCCCATCAGATTCCCCATTGCTCCCATCAGATTAGGGATTCCAAAATAGCCAAGTTGGCCCAGAGCAGGAGTAGTGTTGGCACGCGCGGGCTTTGATCCGCCCCCGTGCCCAGGAAGGTGCTGGGATGGGGATCAGACAGAAGGAAAATGTGTAGGAGAGGTTTTGGGGCACGCGGGGCCGCATTCCCCCCCCCTGCCCCAGGGTTGGGATGGGGTGCAGCATCCCTGCACCTCAAAAAGAGCAATGTTGAGGTCATCACCCTAAAAATCTGCAGCAGAATGGGGTTCTGTGTGGCCTCAGAGCCCGGATCTGCCGTGGGGATGGAGCGTGGCACGCGGGTGGCATTCTGGTACACGTGCCTACAGCTGAGCTCCATGCTGTGCCCCACTCCCAGGAACGTGCTGGTGCTGTGCACACACCTGAGCAAACATCCCCATGTCCCCAAACACCCCTGTGTCCCCAAATATCCCCGGGTCCCAAACATCCCCGTGTCCCCAGACATCCCCATGTCCCCATGGCTGCGTCCTCCCCCCGTCCCACCCCAGGGCAGGGTGTCGGCGTGGGTTCCACACAAAATCAGGCTCCGGTCCTTTAAGTGCCTGAATTAGGCAAAATTTGGTGTTTCTCCAACAATCCTCCGGAAATGTGCTGCTGGAAAAGCCAGCTGATCTTAAAGCGCACGGACGCGGAGCCGATGAGTTTTCCACTCACTCCTGAGATCCGCTCCCCAGCCCTTTTCATGGCCACTTTGAGCTCATTCCCTGCACCGAAATCTCAGGGCTCTGATTGTGGCTCTCCCCCCCACTGCTCCATTCCTGGGGTCTGGCAGTGCTTTGCCCACTCCCCAGCCCTGCAGAGCAGCCGTCCCACACCCCAAGCAGCAGCAGAGCTGGGGCCGTGCAGTGCTTTCTCCCCACTCCGAGATAAAACATTCTGCAAAGAGCCCAACACCGGGGTGATTTGTGTTTATTTTGCTTGCTTAATAACCCCACAGCCTGTCCCTCCCCGGGGCATTAGGGTGTATCAGACAAGCATTCGTTTGAATTACACCCATGCCTGATCCTAATTTTTAAATATATTTTTATGGTGGCCTTCCCCATTTAAGGCGATCTAGAAGAAAAAAAGGAGCAGCAGTCAGTACCTCATGGTCCTAAAAGCAATTGGGGCAAATCCTTTGGGTGCTGACCCCATAAACCCGAGGAGATGCTCACTGGAGACATGTCCCAGCCCTGTCACTCTGCTGGGGACACAAGGTGGGCGCTGGGACCCCTCAAGCCACCAGGGATCCGTGAGGATATTCCTTGGGGGGTCCAATGAGTCCTGGCTCGCTTTTGTGGTGGGCAGCCAACCTGTATTCATGTGGCAGCTTCTTTTTGGTGGTCCCACTGAGAAATGATGGTGGTCCCATTGAGGTGTGATGGTGGTCCCACTGAGAGGTGGTGTCCTATTGAGAAATTACGGTGTCCCAGTGATGCGTCCCATTGAGAAATTATGGTGGTCCCATTGCAAAATGAAATCCCATTGATAAATGATGGAGGTTCTGTTGAGAAATGGTGGTGGTCCCATGGAGAAGTGATGGTGGTCCCAGTGAGAAGTGACATCATGGCACAGCACTGGGGTAAAAGCAGTTGGTTTTTGTGCTTGGGCTGGGCTGGGAACCATTGGGATTTGGGGCGCTGGGGGATATCTGCGCTCCATCGCTCTCCCCAAAGGACTTCTCCATGCAGGAGTAATGGGATGGAGAGTTTCCCTTTGCTCTCCTCTGTTTTCTCCTTGGACATCTCAGGGCTGAATGAGACTGAATGGGGGTTCTGGTGAGAGCAATCCCATTCTGCCCGTGTATTTTTTTTCCACCAGGAAAACCTCCAAACGCGGCACATTTCCACACAGGGCCGCGGTCAAACAGATCCACAACAAAAATCACCGTTGTGTTTGAGGCCCCTCTGTCCCCAGGGCAGCACCTCAGCCCCACTCCTCAGCACAGCCGTGGTCCCATCCGCCGTCTGTTTGTCCTGGATCCCCTCCAGCTGCTGCGCCGATTCCCACACCCACTTTCCATCCCGTTCCGTCCTCGCCCGGGCGAACTGCTGCGCTCACCACCCTGCCCTTCCCCCTCCTCTCCGTGGGATCTTTCAGAGGGGGAGAAGAGGGAGCATATATGCGCATAATGATAAAGATATAAGACCAAGAGAAAAACAAAACGTGACTCACCGCCGTCTTAATTTATTTGTATTTATTTCTCCTCCCCGCCCCGACGCAGACGGCACAGGGGGGGCCCGGGGCACTGCCACAGAATGGCGTTGGGAAGGGGGGAAATCATTTTCTCCACTCTTTGGGGTGAGGGAACGGGGGCACGGAGGTTTGTGGCACTGCATCTGAGGGCAGTCTGTGCACATCAGGCGTTCCAGCGCTGCTTGACACGGCCGTGGATGGAGGATGGAAACGCGCATCCTCGGCGGGGGGAATAGAGAGGGAAAAGGCACAAATGGTGTCATTAGGGACTGTTAATGCTCTCATAAAAGGGCATTAATAAATGCAGCAGCTCAGCAGCATCCATTAGCTGGGCTCGTGGTGGGGGGATGAGGTGAGGGCGCTTCTCACCGACCCCACAGTCCCCTCCTATGGCTCAGGGCAACTCCCCCCCCACCCCCCCAGCTTGCTCCCTTCCCTCCACAAGAGCTGTTTACCACCTATTAAAAAAAAGGCAGCTCTCATAGTGCCAGTCCCCACTCTCCCTCCCGCCCTCTTCCTGTTCTCTCCTCTTAAAATGAGCTTTATCCTTTGACTCTCCCATCCCCGGGGCGAACGGGAACGCGCTGCGTCTCGGGGTGAGCAGAACCCACAGTGTGAGCAGGTGGGGGAGCAGGGAGGAGCACGGCCGCTCCCCAGGAGCCCACGGCAAAGCCAGGAATAGCAGCTCAGTGCTGCACGGAGCAGCACGGCCCGGGGATCCCTCTGCCTTCATAAGTGGCAACGGGATGGGAGAGGTCGAGGCGGCGCTGGGGTGTGAAGATCTCTGGGGGGGCAGCGGGGTGGGTGCATCCACGGCACAGCTGGGAAGGGGGATGGGGGGTGCACAGATGGATAGGGTGGGAAAATACGTGCCGGTGCACATCTGGATGGAGCAGGAACATCTGTTGGTGCACACTTGGATGGAGCAGGATCGTGCACTGGTGCACACCTGGATGGAGCTGGTGCACACGAGTGGTTGCACACCTGGCTGCGGTTAGGAAGGGGGGTTGGCGCACGTCTGCATGAAGCACAAACACATGTGCTCGTGCACATCGCGGCAGAGTGGGACCACATGCCTTGGTGCACATCTGGATGGAGCTGGTGCACACATCTGGGCGGGCCGTGTCACACATCTGGATGCGCTGCGTCGCACATCTGGGCACGGACAGCAGCCATGGAATCCCCTGCAGACCCCTGGCAGCCTCTCCTCCAACCCCCGTACAGCCCAGGCACCCCGAGCTGCCCCAGATCTCCCCACTGATGGGCTCCCTTTGGTTCTGGCTGCTGGGACATGGGGACCAGCGTGGCCTTTGGCACCCGGGTGAACTGCTGTGCCACACACCTCTCAGCGCCGTGACTCAGTGCACAGCATTTTCCTTCCCTCCCGCAGCAGGGCGAAGCTTTGATCCCCAAACGCCCGCCATGCTCCCCACGTGCACTTCTGCTCGCAGTTATTCAGTGCCTCTGGTTTGAGGTTGGTTGTTGGGGGTTGGATTTTTTGGGTAATAACTCCCAGGGCAGGTCAGGACGGAGCAGCGCTGGCAGCAGCACTTGTGTGGGCAGGACTGGAATAACGGGTGCAGTCAGGGGAGGATTTATGAGAGCTGGAAGCGGTGGTGGGAAGTGGGGGTCGAGGGGGGGGTGGATCAACGGGACTGGAGTGCAGTGATGTCCCCATAACCCCATCCCCACTTCACAGGGCATCACCCCCTGCCCAAATATTGAGGATGTTACATAGGAGAAGTTGGCTCGCTGATGGATTTGGCAAGAAAAATGTTCAAAATAGCATCTCCCCCCCCAAAAAAAAATAAAGTACAATCAGGTCGAAATTTGGGTGGCTCCATCCCACTGTGGGCTCAGCAGCATCTCACCTCCTCTCTGTGTGGTTTCAGGGCGCGGAGCTGAGGACGGGGGAGCTCAAAGGGCGCGTGCTGACAGGTGAGTGCCAACCCCAGGCTGGGGGGGATGCGCTGGGGGGGCTGGGGGGTGACGTTGTGCCCTATGGACACAATGCATGTGTTGGCTGAGGCACTGCTTTGGTGTTGTTCTCTTTCTAGAGGTAAATGTGGTTCCTGTAAGAGCAAAAAAAAAAGGGGGGGGAGTGTGGGGGTTTGGGGGGGGGGGGGAACAGCCAGAAGTAAAACCTGAAGATAAAATGGGTGAATCCCAACCGCCTCTGTGATGTGGCACGAACAAAGAGTTTGGGTTCAAGTCAGGCTGAGAGGCAGCCGTGCAGGTTACAGCCCATAGGGATGCATCCCTGGGGGGGTCACAGTGGGGAGGGGGGGGGGGAAGAGAGAGTGGGGGTGGGGAGCCCCTGGTCTGCCTGTATCACATCCCTGTGTGCCACCCATGCAGCCACATCTGGGCAGCTGTGCGGGGCTCCCATGGGGTGCGCAGTGCAGCGGGGGCTCAGCTGCGTGCAAAGGGAGGAAACAACCCCAAAACCACGAGCATCCACCCCAGCCCTCCCAAACGGGAGCGTGAGTGGGGCAGAGGGTGATGCTCACCGCGGGGCACCGCTCACCCCCCATCTCCCTTTGCACCCACAGAGTACGCCCGCCCCACGCCGCCGCCCCGCAGTGGGTACCACCGCTACCAGCTGCGCCTGTATGAGCAGCCCGAGGGTGAACACGTCATCCTGGGTCCTGAGGAGCGCATCTCTGTGGGTGAGGAGCAGCCGTGCCCCGGGGCATCGCTTTTGGGTGCTGCATCCATCCGTCCATCCTGAGTTTGCAGCATGGGAATGCCCACGCAGGGATGCTCTCGTTTAGTGCAGCGGGATGAGCTTGGGGTGCTGGGGTGGGGCGGCCCTGTGCTGGGGGGTCACCAAATAGTGGATGGGGATAAGGGGAGGCGGTTCAGCGACTGTGGAGTTGGGCTCAGACCTCACCCACACGTCCCCAGCCAACCAACAGTGGGAGTTTTGTCACTCTGATAGGGATCAGAGATGGAGATGTGGCAAAGGGATTGCTCAAAGGGCCTGACACAACGCCGGCCAACTCCCAGCCGGAGCAGGGACACAGGGACACGTCCCCAGGTGGGGATGGGCTCACAGGGTAAAGCTCCCATGCACGGCTCTCTGCGGGTTGTTCTGCCCCTCAGTTCACTTTCCTGGCTCATTAGCTCTGAGTCTGAATGACTGAAGGTTGGATTTAACCTCTTGGCTGCTGTGTCACAGCCTTATGTTGTCCCAGCAGGTAGGGAGAGGGTCCTAAAAGAGCCGTACCAGGAGGGGCTGTTGGTGCCTGCAGGGTTTTATCGGATGGGTGAGGGGGGATGAGCAGCAACTCATCCAACACAGCAGAAATGAGGAGGGGAAGGTCTGATCCTGGCAGATCTGCTCTGCGTCCATCCCATCCTGTGGCATCTCACGGGATGCTCAGGCCGTCCCACAAAGCTGTCAGCCCTCCTCAGGCCTCCCATCCCCAAATGAATCCCCTCTTGTCACCCTGTTTGCAGCACCAGTCCCTCCATCAGAACCGGCGTCACCCGCTGTCACCCCAGCATCACCCCTAACCCCAATCCCACCCAGCCCCCCATCCTGGCCAGCCTGGTGCCGTCCGTCTGTCCTCTGTCGCTTTATGCTCGAATCCACTCAGGAAAAAAGGAGAAACCGCCACATTCCCCCCTACAGAGCATCACCTCCACCAGCCCTTCCTCCCCACCAACCCGACGTGCGCGCAGTGGGGCGGTGGGACCCATCGTTGCGGGAGGAGCGGTGGGGCCGCAGCTTCCAGAAGAGGGCACTGCGCCCCGAGCTGACCTCCCCGAGCCGCGCTCCGAGCGCCGGGACGCGGAGAGCGACGGGGGAACAGCGCGGGGTGGGCGGTGGGAAGGGGGGGGATCCGTCGGTGCTTCTCCGCTGGGGCTCGAAGGGAGGGGAGGGGGGGTGAGGGGCCGTGACCCACTGCGGGCTGAAGGTGTTGGCGCTGTGCGGAGAGGCGTTTCGGTGCCGGGTTGGGGGTGGGGGCCGCGGGTAGAGCCGGAGGAGCGGCAGCGTCCCCGCACCGCCCCTTTGGGAGCGGTTTTTCCAGGGATGCTCTGAAGCAAAACGGTTTCTATTGCGTGGGGGGGAAGTTGGGAATAAATCCTGTCGCCGTCCCCCACTCCCTCCCAACCCCAGATCCCTCCGGGCACCCCCACCCCTCCCTACTGACGGAGCCCCGGCGCCGTGACCCCAAAGCGGCTCCGCCCTCCCCGGCCTCAGTTTCCCCCTTTTAGAGTCCGCTCCCACCGAACTCCGCTTTTTGCAGCGGCTCCGTCCCCCCCGTTTCCCCCCCCCGGGCCCAGCGGTGCAGCGGCGGTTCCGTACCCGGCAGCGCTCAGCTGCGGCCCCGCGGGGTGGCGGCCGCCTCTGCGCTCCGAGCGGATGGGAGATAACAGTTCTGTGGGCTGCAGAATCTCCGAGCCGCCCGTCGGAGCGGCAGAGCTCGCAGCTCTCCGTCCGCAGCGCTGCCCGACCTTAGGAAATCCCCCGCGTCCCGTTGGGGAATTCAGCATCCAGCCCGGCCGGGGGAGGAAAACCCACCCGGACTGCAGCCTCAGAGCCGGTTTGGGGCGCTTTTCCCCATTTCCCCCACTCCCTTCGGCCACCGGCAGCGCTTTGCACAGAGACCCCTCGCACATCCCACGGGGATGGAGATCCTTCTTTTGCCCGTCGCGCTGTGCCCGTGGGTCGCTGCCTCCCGCAGATGTCACCTTAATGAAGGTGGCACGGTTTGGGGTTGCGGCACTGCTGGACGCGCTGTGCCACCTTCCTCCCCTTACGGGTCCGGATTCACATCGGAGAATGATTCATGAGCCGACCTCGATCCGCCCAGCCAGAAATTCGGGTCGGACCGGTGCTGGAAGGGAGAGGGAGCAGGCGAGGAAAGCAGGAGCTGAGCGCAGCGGGGCGATGCCGGGCTTGGCTTCGGGGCTGGGAAGCGAGGAAGGCTGCTGTGAGGATGATGATGGCGAGCGTGTGGCCCCGGCCGAAGTCTCCGAGTGTTGGTTAATGGGGATAAAAGCAGGCAGCGACCGCACGCCCACCTCCGTTGGGACATCATTAATCTCAGCAGAGCTGCGCTGATGGGGCTGATTAATGATGGCCCCAAAGTGCTGCGGGGTGGGGGTCCTGCATAGGACTGAGGGGTACGGTGGAGGGGACAGAAAACAGCCCCATATGTCCCCCTACCCTCAGGCTGTGGGTCCGGAGGGGTTGGCAGAGCCGTGCCCGCTCCCCATGCCTCAGTTTCCCCTGTGTGCACTCCTCCTCCTCCTCCTCCTCCTCCAGCGATGATATAATCCTGCAGGAAACGAGTTTGAAAGTGGACCAAAGTGCGGATGAAACGCCTCATTGTTCAGGCGGGGGGGGGGGGGGGGGAGACGGTGACCCCACAACCTCCTCTCCCAGCTCCACTGACTCACGGAGCTATTGGGACCCATTGGCACAGAGGTGCCCTTTGTGGATGCCCCATACCCACGGGAGGGGTGGCCGTGCTGTGTCGGGGTGCCCCACGGTTTGGGGCTGCCCCCACATTGCTGGGTTTGGGTGGGGGGGGATGCGGGGCTGGGAGCCACCTGGGGAAGCCCCCAACACATCCGTGTGTGCCTGGGGGTTTCCTTCAGGACAGACCCACAGGGAGAGGTGAGAACAGCACGAGTGCAGGTAGGAAAGTAGGTCAGGAAAAACCCTCGCCCCGCTGTGCGGGGCCGCTGCGTGCAGCCCTGTAATAACGCAGCCTCATCCCGGCCGCTTTCATCCGCGCCTCTCGGGAGGATCCATAAACACTAATTAGGGCTGCCGGCACCCCAGGGAGGGGGGAGCAGCCGTGTCTCGCTCTCACCCCATCCCTCGGGGCCCCCACTGCACTCCGCCTGGGCTTTCTGGGGGCTTTCATCCCATGGATGAAAGGCACCCACAGATTTGGGGCAGTAGGATCGGCTCCGGGACCCTGAGAGACCCCAAGCCCATGCTCAGGGGGATGAGTGGGGGGACAGATTCAGACCCCGAAGTGAGATGTTCCCATCCTTTTTCCATCCTTTCTAAGGGAGGTCTTTAGGGGTTGGAAGGGCTCATCTCCACCCTGGGCACAGCAGCAGCTCCCCATCCGCATCCATGGGGGCACAGAGCATGGCGGGAGGTGGGGGGCACAAGGGAGGGAGGGTTTCAGATCATCAGTGGGGCTGTTGCCACATTGTGACACCACAGGTGTGTCCCTTCGGTGCCTCTTTGGGTGTCTCTTTGGTTTCCCTTTGGGTGTCCCTTCGATTTCCCTTTGGGTGTCCTTTTGGGTGTCCCTTTGAGTGTCCCTTTGGTTTCCCTTTGGTGACCCTTTGGTGTCCCTCTGGTTTTCCTGTGGGTGTCTTTTTGGATGTCCCTTTGGTGTCCCCTTGGGTGTTCCTTTGATGTCCCTTTGGGTGTCCTTTCTGATGCCCCCTTGGGTGTTCCTTTGGGTGCCCCCTTGGATGCCAACACTGGGGATTTCCAGGGGTGGCTCAGAGGAAGCAGTGGGCAGCTCTGCCCCAAAGGCCAGCAGGAAGCAGTGGGGGCAGAGGGGGGTCCCCATCCTCTGCTCCCCCCAGGGGCCGCTCGGAGCAGGGTGCAGCACTGCACGGTCCCTGCAGGCGGTGCAGAGCTGTTTGCAGGATGTGGTCGGGCGCGTTGCACGCAGCAGCAGCAGGATGCAGCCCCGCTCACCCCTCTGCTCTCTCCCCCAGGTTCCTGGTCACTGGAGAACTTTGTGGAGCGCTTTCGGCTCGGCTCCCCCGTGGCCTCGACGCAGTTCCTCACCAAACACCACGAGGATTAGAGGGGCACAGACCCCGCAGCGCCCCCAGCCTCCTGCAAACCCCAAATCCCTCTGCGCGACGCCGCTGTGGGGCTCTCTGTGCATCCCAAAGGTGCCCCACCTCGAAGCTTTGCTGTTTGCTGAATGAAACCGATGGATGTTTGTCGGGTCTTTGCATCCAGCCCCGATGTCACCGAGCGGTGGCACTGGGATGCAGTGTGGGAGCCGCCGTGGCTCCATCCGCGCTCTTCTCTTGGAAAGCAAAACCGAAATTAAAGCTGTAAATCAGAAGAGCTCTGCCTGCCGGCCGCACAGCCGGACCTCCCCTGTAATTAGCTCTTTAATTAGGCTTTCATCCCGAGAGTCGGGTTTTCTCCTCGCAGACTGCCCTCGCTGATTTCATGCCCCCATGGCACAGGGCTTGGAGCAAACCCAGCGTGGGAGCGAGAGCTTGAGTGGGGAAACTGAGGCACTGGGAAGCACTCGGCGCGGGTTGGAGGGCACAGCCGTGCTCCCATTGCTGCATCTCACCCCAAACCCATCCCAAAAGCATCGAGAGCAGTGAGAGCAGCTTTCACCTCACAGCCAGAGGACTTTCCCTGCAGCAGGAAGAGGCTGTTTACCCAGTGGGGTTGAATCATGTGCTGCATCCCATGCAGCACTGCAGGGAGGGATGCACGGTGCTCACTGCTCCACCACAGCTGTTGCTGTTGTTGTAGGGGGAGAGAAAATGTGATGGGAAATGGTCACCGTCCTTCTGGGCCTTTGTGGAGGTGGAAATGGGGTGGGAATTTGGTGGGTCTGCAGTCTGTGCTGCGGGGTGTGGGGAGCCCTGAGGGGGGCAGCCTCACAGTGGGGTGGGTTGGGGGTGGAAGACATTGGGATAGGGATGGGATGGGGGTGGCAATGGGGGTGGGGATTGGGAAGGGATGGATGCGAAGGGATGGTATTGGGGTGGGATGGGATGGGATGGGGATGGCCCCAGAGTGGGGTGGGTTGGGGGTGGGGAAGTCATTGGGGATGGGGATGGGATGGGGTGGAGATGGGTGGGGGTGGGGATGAGGATGGCATATGCATGTGGATAGGATGGAGATGGGATGGGATGGGGTGGGGATGGAGCAGGGATGGAGATGGGGTGGAGATAAGGATGGGATGGGGATGGGAATAAGGATAGAATGAGAGTGGGGATGGGATGGGGATGGAGTGGGGATGGAGATGGGATGAGGATAAGGTTGGGATGGGGATGGATGAGGATGGGGATGGGGATGAGAACAAGAATGAGGCTGGGATGAGAATGCAATGCAAAGGAGATGGAAACATGGATGGGGTTGGGATGGGAATGGGATAAGGATGGAATGCGATGGGGATAGGAATGAGGATGGGGATATGGATGGGAGTGGAAGGAATGAGGACATGAGTGAGGATGACCCACGGTGACACTGCAGCACGCCATGGGACAGCAGCACTGCCCAGCTCTGACCACAAACTCTCACTGGGACGTTCACGAGGCCATTGCAGCGTGGAAAATATGAACGGCGATTTGTTTGCTCACTTTGGGGTAAATTAGAAAGAAAGAAAGAAAAAAAAGGAAGCCACGTACAGTCATTCTGCATTGGCCACACCCCTTCGTCTCCCCTTCCATTCACTCACCATTGGTGCAAGAGAGAGAAAAGAGAAGCTGAGTCTCTCGCCGCCTAAATGTAGAAAGTTTTGCTTCTAAATCAGTTTGCGATGGAAAGGAAATACGTCACATCCCTGGGGAAGTGGCAGCCACAACCCCAGCGCTGCAATGGAACAGCCCGGCCCCGAAATAGCTGCGCTCTGTTATTGTCACCGATAGCGCCTTTTTTTTCTCTCCCTTTCTGTCTATATGTGTCATTTTTAGCATCCAGAGGAAGTTTTGTTTGTGTTTGTCAGCCCGACTTTCCACTGCCGTGGCTTTTTTCTTTTTCCTCTTCTGATGGGGGGTGGATGGGGGGGTGAGAAAGTGGTGTTGGGGCAGCGAGATCCCATTGCAGAGCCAAAAGGCGAAGGCAGTGCTGCGGTCCCATAGGACCCCGCGTTGCTGCGGGTGGGGGGAGGTGGCACTCGAGGACCCCTGTGTGACGGTGTGCCTGTGTGACTGCTGGGGCTCCTGTGCCTCCGCCAGCCCCATCCCGGAGCAAATGTGGGCACGTTGGGGATGGGTTGGGGTCAGGTTTTAGGGTCTTGGGGGTCTTTTCTGACTTTAATGATTCTCCCGGCCAACAGAGGGGTCCCATCCCATGAAGGAGGGCAGGAAGGAGCTGCTCTCCATCCCACATCTGATGGGACCACGCTGCGAAAATGCAGATTTAGGGGCAGGGGATACAGGGGAGCAGTGGGGCACCACCCCCTGCAATGGGGCAGAGGGACAGGGCGGGTGCAGCCCGTATTTCTGGGAGCAGAGCAGAGCTCCCCCAGCGCCGGCACTTGCACAAGAAGGGATCGGCAGGATCAGCTGACAATGATCTAAGTGCATAACTATATCAACCTGCAAATTAATTAATGCTATCTCGCGCTACATAATGGCCCTACCTGCGGCTCTTAGGCACTCCTCAAGCACTCTCTGCATCCAGGCTCGCTGCTCCCCCCGGGATATGGGTCAGGATGGGGACGCCCCATTTGCTGGGGGGAAGCTGTGATGTGGGGAGAACCCACACTGCATTGGGGGCTGATGGAAACCCCCGTCCCACAAACCCTCTCGTGGGGCTGTGTGTGGGGAGGATGCTCAGCATTGCCACAGCCCTACAGAGCTGGATTGGGGCTGGGGAAGGCAGGCAGAGCCGTGCAGGAATGTTGGACTTCTGGAGCCATAGGGGAAAGTGTGCACAGGGCCACATTCCCACCGCTGTGCGCCGCACCGCTGCCAGGAGGAGCGCGTGGATCAGCTCCAGCATCAGGCTTTTATTAATTAGCAATAATGAGGGATATTTACACAGTGTGCGCCCCTGGGGAGCTCTGTGGGGCCACCTGGGCCCATTCCTCCTATCTGGGATGGAGAGAAGTGGGTGCTGGGGGCCGTGGCCACAAATCCAAGCTTCTGCTCACCCCACAGCATCAGGACCAAAGCTCTGCGGCCCCATAAGTGTGACCCACAGCCCCACAACCCCGGCCCCTCATTCCCAGGGGTGCTGCTCCACTGCTCAGTTTTTTTTTTCCATCTTCTTATTGTTCCCCTGCTGATTTCTGGATAATAACAGGAAAATCCTCTGGGGTCGGACCAGGGATGGCCCAGAGGTTTGGGCTGCCCTAAGCTGTGCGTTGCCATTGGTCCCACTGAGATCCCTGCTGCACAAAGAGGCTTCTCCCCATTGCCATGGGGAAACTGAGGCACAGAAGGGCTCCCATAGATTCCCCCCATCCTGCCGTGCCCCATCCCTCCATCCTCCCCCACATCTCAGCACATGGGGAGGAGCTGAGCCCAATGGCCATCGGAGCATCCCAAGGGAGCAGCCCCATCCCGGTGCCACCACCCCACGTCCCAAGGAGAGGAGTGAGGGAGATGTGGGCCTCACTTCCACGTGTATATCGGTGTGTTTGTGAGCATTTCTGGAGGAGGAGGGCGTGTGGCTGTCAAAGGCAGAGCAGGAAAACCAACGTGAGCGCGTGCTGGGAGGGACGCAGCTGTGCCCCGAGGTGCTGTGGGTCAGGGGCAGAGTTTGGCCCCAGAGGAGGATTTCCCACACCCAGCAGCAGCAGAGAAAGTCTCTCCTCCTCCAGAAATGACAGCAGGGCTGAAATCACCCGGCGCCCATCCGTCCCTGCGGGCTCTGAGTGTCTCTGACAGCCAGGAGGACTCTGCAAACTGCAGCACCTCATCCTGCCCGTGAGACCTCACTGCTCACAAACAAAACCCGAGAAATCTGATGAGACCTTCACCAAACACCCCCCCGACACCCACCCGTCTACGGTGATTTGTTGCCCTTCTCCACACCACGAGAAGAGCGGGCGTTGCGGCCCCAGTACAGTCATGCCCGGGGGTAGGAACAGGGTTAGGTGACATTTCCCCATCAGCCACAATGTTTACTACTCTGTGACCTATAGATCTACATCTGCAGCACATCCGAAGGGTTGTGGGGAGGAGAGCCTGCAAGTTTCTGCCCCACTCTTGGCATCCGGGCAGACCCCATAATGCCGGAGCAGAGGCTGCGCCGCTCCGCATCCCCCAACCCGAGGGCTGCGGGTGTGGATTCAGCACCTCGGAGAGCTCCCGGGACCCCCGCCATGGGGGGGCTTTGGGGTGGGGGGGGGGGCGTCCCATTGTGCCCCAGCTTCCGGTGGGACCCCCAGGCTGGGTGTGGTTTGGGGTGGGATTCCAATGGGACCCCAATTTGGGTGTGAGTTGGGGTGGGATTCCAATGGGACCCCTCAGGTTGGGAGTGATTTGGGGTGGGATTCTAATAGGACCCCAAGTTGGGTGTGGGTTGGGTTATGATTCCAGTGGGACCCCCAGGTTGGGTGTGATTTGGGGTGGGATTCCAATGGAACCCCTCAGATTTGCAGTGACCTGGAGTACGATCCCAATGGGGAACCTCAGATTGGGTGTGATTTGGGTGCCACCATTAATTAATGACCAAAAATTAACAGTTCCCCTTTTGAATGCCCTAGAGAACTCAGGAGGGCCACCCCCATGAATCATGGGGTCACGGGACCAAAGATCACCCATCAGGTGGCATTTCTGCCCCAGCCCCACAGGGACGGCCCCACAGATGGGTTCTGGCTGTGTTGGGCGCCCCAGAACGCTCGTCCCATTACCCCAAGGGCAGCTCTGCCATCGGTTTATGGGATATTGGTGATAACCCATATTTGGTGATAGTCAATATGGGATATCTCCCATCTGGGAGATGGGATCCATGCAGTGCAGCAGCGGTGTCATTGGTGATCCCGATCCGCCCCGATCGGAACGGACTTTGTGTGGGATGATGAAACCAGGCACAATCTCCCCATCCAACCTCAGCCGTAACTCAAAACCCCATGGAGAACCTGGGCTGGGAGCGCTGGGGGAAGTGCTGGGGGAAGGGACAGCCACCCTACAGCTTAGAGATGTCCCATAGCCAACACAGCCCCATAGAGTAGAGCCCCCAGTGGTCGCTCCCCCAAACAGAGGTGCAGGGTGGGGTTGTCCCATGGGATGGGGTCGATCCCATGGAATGGGGCTGTCCCATGGGATGGGGTTGGTCCCATGGAATGGGGCTGTCCCACTGGATGACGTTGATCTCATGGAATGGGGTTGGCCCAGGGAATGGGGTCGATCCCATGCAATGGGGTTCATCCCATGGGATGGGGCTGTCCCATTGGATGGGGTTGTCCTGATGGATGGGGTCAATCCCATTGGATGGGGTCGATCCCAAGGATGGGATTGTCCTACTGGATGGGGTCGATTCCATGGGATGGGGTTGCCCCATGGGATGGGCTCAGCCTTTGAGATGTGCTCCAACCCCACTGAGAGGGTTTGGGGTCACCCTCACCAAGGCTGGCCCAATGGGGAGGGGGGAATCCCAAACTCTGTGGGTTCCATGCGGGTCTGTGCCCCATAGGGTGCAGCCAAGTGTGGGGCTGGGTGGCTGGGCAGGGCGTGCACTGAGTGCTGCAGTTATGGGGTGATGGAGCACCAGGGGCTGCCAGCGAAGCAGAGCAGTGCTGCCCCCATACAAAGTGTGGGGTGAATGGGGGCGGTGGTGGGACTCTGCGGTTGAGGTTGGGGGGGGAGGGGGGAGATGTGGTCTGCACTCAGATGCAGGGGGTGGGGGGA